AACGACATAAAGGCCTGATTATGGAATCTGCACTCCAGTTCCATCTTCTAGTAGTGTACTTCATCTAGCAGGACTCTTCTGGGCCAGAGGCAGAATTGTGCAGTGTCACAGGAGTGGTGGCTGATGGCTGTCCTGTGCTAGTCTATCCATTCTAAATATATGTTTCTCACAGGGTGAGCTCCTTTAATTCTCCACACAGCAGCAGGAGCCACTGCTCCCACGTCTCAGCATCTGGGTAACTGCCCCAGGTTTCACAGTGAGATCTGATGCAGAGGCTGGGGCACAGCCTGGTACTTCTGTTCCAGTCCACTCTTTTAGCCACCAGGCCATATTGTATCCTCCTAGTGGCTTGTTTGTTTGTTTGTTTTTGAGACAGTCTTACTATGTATTCCAGGATCGCCTTGATCTCATAGTGATCCTCCTGTTTCAGCCTCATGAGTGCTGGGATTACAGGTATGCATCACCATATCTGACCTCCTAGCTGAGCTTTTGTGATACCAAAGGTGTATACTTTTCTCAAAGGATGATTTTTTTGTTCAGGATTTCTAATTTTTTGTTTTGCTAAGTAACGATGTTTTAAAAAATAGAAAAATATATTTATTTCTTAGAATTTTAGGCTGTATAAGTCACAAATTCAGGGCAACTTTGCTTTATGAAAATCTACAGCATTGTCCTTTATTTTTTTTAAAAAATTCTTGAGCCAAAGATGGTGGCTCATGCCTATAATCCAAGCACTAGGTAGGCTGAGACAGGAAGATCACTGTGAGTTTAAGGCCAGCCTGAACTATATAGTGAGACCCTGTCTCAAACAAAACAAAATAAAACAAAACAAAACAGCATAGAAATAAAAATAATTAAAGTTACAGGGATGAGTACTTAATCAAGAGTGAGGGAGACTGACAAAGATTTAACTTTTTGGTCTTAGATAATGGTTTACAAGACAGGCTGCCTTCTAATAACTCATTTAATTATAAAAAATTTAAAAGTTGTAGCTGGGCATGGTGATGCATGCCTGTAATCCTATATTCAGGAGGTCAAAGCTGGAGGATTGCCATGAGCTGGAGGCCAGCCTATGCTCCACAGTGCATTCAAAGCCAGTCTGAACTACACAGTGAGACCCTGTCTCAATTAAACAAAAATTTAAAAAATAAGTTGTTTAAGGAAAGTACATTATTGAGACAACTAGGAAAATATGAATATGGTCTATATTAGATAATACTCATATAAATAATTCAACGTTAACTTTCCTGAGTATGATAATGGCATTGTGATTATATGAGTGACTCTCCATGTTCTCCGGAAATCCCTGCTGAATTAGATGCAGGTGGAGAGCACAAGGTTATCTACAACTTCCAGATGGCTGGGAAAAAGAGCAGCATACCACAGCGCAGCAGGTATGCACATGAAGTCGTGTAAAGCCAACACAGTGAACGGCCTGTGACTGATCTCCACTTCTGTCGGCTCTCTCAGAGAAATGCTGGGGAATAAAGTGAAGGCGCATCCCACAGTGACAAATTCTTGTAAAGCCACCAGCTTTGCAGACACAGATACAACCACTTGGTATCATCTAGAAAAACTGAAGATGGCGGAGTCTATGAAGAGGATTCCTGCTGTAGAAAACCTCATAAATCACGAAGCTGGCACAGAAGTGTTCACAGCATACGTGGACGATAGCTTGCGACATGGGTAATCCCCATAGGAACAGGCTACAGTAGTGAAGATGAAGAAATTGCCAGGTACAGTCCAGAAACTAATGCTAAGACAACAAAACAAGTTGCAAAATAACACCTATAGAAAGACTTCATCAAGATTTTATATACATATGTATGGTATATTTATACTCTAAAGACAAAAGCAAGCTCAACCATGGTTTTAGCATATATATATATATATATATATATATGCTAAACTATGTTATATATTCTTTTACAGAAATTTTTAAAAAACTAAGCAAACCCTAGACCACACTGGAAGAAGACTATTTCAAACTTTTTATTGGTTATCAGAACAGAGTTTATTTTAGCTGTCTCCTTAGTAAGTGATCAAAGACATCTGGGTACCCGAGAGTACTATAGTCATATGGGAAATAATGCAATTAACAACAGAGCCATCATTTGTATCACTGGACATTCTAAGGCCCTGGGTCTTTTGTTTGTTTATTTGTTTGAGACAGGGTCTCACTATGCAGTTCAGGCTGGCCTTGAACTCACTATATAGCCCAGGCTGGTTTCAGGAAAATTATGCATGCAGGGTAAATGAATGAGAGAATTTCCTTTCTTTTTTTTTTTTTTTTTTTGTCTTTTTCGTTTTTATCGGTACCAGGGATCGAACTCACGACTGCCTGCTTGCAAGGCAGGTGCTTATGCCGCTGAGCTAAATCCCCAGCCCCTTCTTTCTTTCTTTCTTTTGGGGTGGGGTTTGAGGCAGAGTTTCGCTATATAGTTCAGGTTAGCTTTGAACTCACTAGGTAACAAAGGCTACAACAATCTTCCTGCCTCAGCCTCCCAAGAGCTGGCATTACAGGTATGTACCAACATGCCCAGTGGGAGATTTTTTTCTTTTCTTTTTTTTTTTTTTTGTGTGGCACTCAAGATTCAACCCTGGGCCTTGCACTGCAGACGTTTTTATTTTTTTATTTTGAGATAAGGTCTCAAAGCTGCTCCAATGGAGCTCCAACTTTTGATCCTCCTGCCTCAGCCTTCTAAGTGCTGGTAGTAGAGGATACAGCACTGTGCTTGACTTTAGAGAGAGAACATTTGAAGCTCACACTGACTTTGAGGAGGCAGAAGGTATAACAGACAGACAGGGAAAAATGTCTGTGAACCATGAGCTAATTAGAAATCTTTACCATACCTCTCCCGGGAGACTTGCTAGCAATCTGAGCAGCTGGATCTGTACCTAGGGTGCTCAAATCGCCAGGGTGCTGGCCTCTTTCACGTGCTTTCCAACCATGGTGTTGCACCAGGCTGATCTGTCCGAACAGTCACGAGCCAGTCCAGGGTGGCCCATCTGCGATGGCATGTGACAAGTCTGCTTTGGTGGCCGGCAGCCTTCAGTCACGTTGCAACCAGCCCTCGGACTTGAGCCCAATTTAGTCTCACTTCCCATGTTTCTTTAAGCGCTGTGTAGGGGTTTATGGTATTTTATTTCTTTTCTCACATAAAATGTGGTGTGAACTTTTTAAGGAATTTTTTTAAAACAGGAAGGAAATCTTCCAAAGAAAATAAAACTGGGAATATTTATTCTTTAAAAAAGGAACACTTGATACTGATAGAAATTCCCATTTAAGAGCCAGTTGAAACAAGCTCAAAAGGCACCAAGTCTTTTAGAAATCACCAATGTAAAAATTAAGATTTCACTGGTAGACATAGGCATGGTGGCACATGTCTGTAATGCTAGCACTTGGGAGGCTGGGGCAGGAGGATCACCATTAGTTTGAGGCCAGCTTGAACTACACAGTGAGACCTTGTCTCAAAAAAAATTTCACTAGTAGATTATTTATGTACATAATGGGGAAAACATTTTATTCTATAATGTTACTTTCAAATTCTAGTTCAAAATTCTGTATTTTAATTTTGAGGTAGTTCTCTTGTTTTCTCTCCCTTTTAGGATTGAACACAGGGCCTCTGCACTGAGGTACATCCCCCAGCCCTTTTTTATTTTTTTACTTTGAAACAGGGTCTCACTAAGGCACTAAATTACCCAGGCTGGTCTCTAATGTACAATCCCCCTGCCTCAAGTACCCCAAGTGCTGGGATTACTGGCTGGCTTTATTTCTCGTTTTGTGGTACTAGAGATCCAAGACAAGGCCTTTCACATGCTAAGCAGGCACTTTTCCCACTGAGTGAAATCCCCAACCCATACATACCAAAGAAATTCAAAGTCCACATTGCAGCAGTGTTGATGACCAAGGATACCAAAGCAGCAGCTGGCTGTGTTAATAAAATGTCTGGAAGCGATGACCACCACTTTGAGTACTTCTTGTAATTGGAGAGGCCAAAGGTAACTTGTATGCATCTCATGATATCTCAATAAATTTAGCTTTAAAATTTACACAAGTTTTTCTTTTCCTAAAGTTTGCATACATTTTTTTGGCTCTCTGTCTCTGTCTCTGTCTATTTCTTTGGTTTTGGTTTTTTGAGACAGGGTCCTGCTATGCAGTTCAAGTTGTCTTTAAACTCACTATGTAGCCCAGACTGGCCTTAAACTCATGGTGATCCTTCTGCCTCAGCTTCCCAAGTGTTGGGATCACAAGTATATGCTACCACGCCTGGCTCTATTTTATATATTTTAAATGAGTTATGTAAACTTGAAATAATTGGAGTCAAAATGAACTTCCTTCAGCCTCTGCTGCACAAGGTATGCTGGTGGAAGAACGTTAACTATGCTTAGCTGGTTCTCTGCTCAAGGGAACACAGTGCCTATTCCATATTTCTTCCTACTTAGCAGGAGCCGTGTGGCTGCTACTAGAGGCACAAGGTGACATGTCCTTACATCTACACCCCCTTCTTCCTCTGCTGTACCCCACCAGCTGGCACTGAGGGTATGGCCTATCACTGGGGCCTGGTCCCCAATGCCCTTCAGTTCTGTCTCTGCAGGGGCATGGACAGGTACAGTACTGCCCCCAGGAAAGACAGCTTGTGACAAGTGAAAAAGCAAGGGGGTCTTGGCTATGACTTTTCTCTTGGGGACACAGTATGTTCCTTTTGGATCCAGTTTGGATAATATGCTAACTCTGAATCAACTGTAAACAGAACGGAGTAGAAATGGCGGTAGGTACAGTGGAGAGTGTTCATGGTTACCACACATTTGGCCCTGGTGAGAATGACCCAATGCTGAGGGGTGAGTGTTCTTCTAGGAAAGAACTGGGAAATCTGAGCTGCAGACACAACTAAAACAGAAAAACAAGTCATGCAGCAGGGCCACCAGGTATTTCCCAAAACCCTAGAGAAGATGCAGATCCAAGCTAAAAGGAGCAAAATGAAAATGCTGCTTCTCACCTTCTGAAAGTTCTCCTTCCACAAATCTTCTATGACTATGTATCCGCGTAAGCCCCAATCATATAATTTCTCCCCACTGACCTTGAAACAAAAAAGAAAATATCTGTTGTTATTCCATACGTAAACAGTACGGAAGAGAATTTACCATTTTCTTTCTTCCTGTTTGCAAAAGAACTACATTTAAGTACATGACTACTACAGGACGTTTTGGGATATATATATCAACACTGTGGAATGTGGTGGTGCAGACTATAATTCCAGCACTCAGGAAGCTGAGGCAGGAGGACTATCACGAGTTCAAGGTCAGCCTGGGCTACATAGTGAGTCCAAGACCAGCCTGGACTACATAGTGAGAGCTTGTCTCAAAACAAACAAAAAATGTATAAATCACAGGCATATATCCTTGGTTTGGTTTTGGGGCTAGGGGATTGAACTCAGGGTCTCCTGACGCACCTGAGGCATATCCTCTGCCACTGAGCCCACCCTGCCCTGGCAGGAGTATAGCCTGAATGTCAAAAACTTAAGGAAAAAATGTAGAAGACCATTGCTGATATAGGAAGTTCCTGAAACTCACACATAGGAAGCAGACATTGACCAAGCTCATTTGGTACCTGGCCTGGTACATGATGGCCACACCACTTGCATCTGCTGAGTTGCAACATCACTCCCTTACTTTAGGGGCTCAGATGGAGGAGCGATGAATCCAAGGAATATGTTCCCTATTCTCCTGCCCCCCACAAATGTAAACTCTTTCAATTCCTACAGGTTTCCAAGATAACCTAATCTAGAATCATTCCTCCAACACACCCAGGGACAGCGTCAGGCTCAGGGAGCTCAGGACCTTTGTGTCCCTTTTTGGCCAGCTGGCTGCAATTGCTGGACACTTTGTGGTTTTTTTTTTTTTTTTTGGTCTTTTTCATTTTTATCAGTACCAGGGATCGAACTCATGACTGCCTGCTTGCAAGGCAGGCGCTTATGCCACTGAGCTAAATCCCCAGCCCTGGACACTTTGTTTTTAAGTGTTGAGTTTTCTACATAAAGTACTTCTAGAAATCTGCATGCATTGGTCCTGCTTATGACAAAGAATGCTGACTGCTCTTCTCTACAATAATACCTCCAATTCCTGAGAAAAGTTATTTTCTTATTCATCTTTATAATAATTCATCTTTCACAATAGTGTTTCATTGACATGGCACTCTCACATGAATTCTATCTTGCAGAACAGTAAGGAGGCAAAGACTTTAAAGAAGCCAGGTGTGGTGGTGCACGACTGTAAATCCAACATAGCAAGATCACAAGGTTGAGTCCCAGCTGGGAAACTCAGCAAGACTCTGTCTCAAAATGAAAAAATAAAGAGGAGCTAGGAATGTAGCTCAGCGTGCAGGCCCTGGATTCAATTCCTAGTACTCCAGAGGGCAAAAAGAGATTAAACTTCCTACTGACTTTAAAAATAAGTAAGAATGCAAATCAGATTTGCATCCTACTATCTTCATTGTGAATACCAAAGATGTTTAAGGCGTTTTGCTATATATGCTGCGGAATCAAAGACAAGGAAAGACCCTCACTCTGGGGGAACATACATCTGCTTCTCAACCCACAGTGAAGAACCCCTACCTAACCTAGCGCTATACAATTTAAACTGTAAACAGACCAAGATGTATGAACATTGTTATTATTATTAATCTAGGACTCAGTGACCTTATTTGCTGTTCCTGAGCTAGGGAAGAGCAGGGGTAGGAACATTAACTCTAGGCTGTTAGACACAATATGGAAGTCAAGTGTACTGGCAAACACTTGTAAGCCCCACGCTCAGGAAGCTGAGACAGGAGGATCCTTGTAAGACTGAAGTCAGCCCAGGCTACATAGTAAATTCAAGGGCAGCCTGGACTATATAGTGAGACTTTGTCTCAAAAATAAATAAAAAAAAAAAGAAGAAGAAAGAAAAGAAACAAAGGAACAATATAGAGCCTTGCTGGAAAGATCCACAAAGCAGTGTCTCCCACATCCGGCCCAAGAGCATTGCGCTTAGAACCACTGCCCACCCAGGATCCTGGCCCCTGCTCTGTCCTGAGGAATTCAGAGCAAACAGCTGGGCAGCATGCTCAGGACCTGACTCTGGTGACTGCACTGCTGTCCCTTCCAAAGACTGAATCACCATGTGATTCAGTAGTTCTGACAACAGAGTCTCCCTCTCCACAAGGACCTCAAAACTCAAAAGCAGCCTTGTGTTTGCCACACTTGATGTCTTTTTTGGGGAGGGGAGCACATAGTAGCTTTGAATCCAGGGCCTTTGCACTGAACTACAACCTCAGCCCTCTTAAAATTTTTATTACAAAATACTTATTTATTTTTTAGACACAGGGTCTCACTATGTAGCCCAGGCTGGTTTTGAATTCACAGCGATCCTAATGCCTCAGCCTCTGAAGAGCTGGGATTATAAGTGTGTGCCCCCACACCTGGCCTCTTTTTATTTTTTGAGACAAGGGCTGAGGCTAACAGTGAACACTTAGCTCAGTGTCTATGGTGGAGAAAATACGCTAGCTCAGAAGATACAAGAAAGAGTAAAAGAGATTCAAACAGAGATCCAGGAGATTAAAAATTCCATTGAAAATATACACAGCAGCATAAGAAGGTGAAGACAGAATATCAGATATAGAAGATAGGATTGTGGTTAGCAATCATGAAAAGAAAGATTTCTTAAAAATAGCAAGGAACCATGAAGAAACAATCCAACAGCTGCTAGGTAATGAAAAAAGAATAACACAAAACTGATTAGGGTCAATGAAAAGTAAGAGCGTAAATGACATAAAAAACCTGTTCACAGAAGTAATGGAAGAAAGCATCCCAAACATTTAAAAAGAACAGACACACAAATAAGTGAAGCATACAGAACTGCAATTAGACAATTAAAAAGTTACACAAGGCATACAATGGCCAAAATTCCAGAAATTCAACATAAGAACAGAATGTAAAAAACTGTTACAACACATTCACTAGAAGAAAGATAAGATTCTTTAATAGATAGTACTGGAAAAACTGGCTCTGCTCATGCCAAAGATTAAAACTGGGCCCATATCTTTCACTATGCACTAAACTAAATTTGGAATGGATCAAAGATCTAAATATTAAAACAGAAACATTAAATCAACTAGAAGACAGAATAGATAAAACTCTTGAAGACATTGGTGTAGGCAGACTTCATGAACAAAACCCCAACTGCACAGGAGCTATCACAAAGAATAACCAACTGGGATCTCATCTTACTGAAAAGCTTTTGTGCAGCAAGAGAAACCACCAACAGAGTGAGAGACAGCCCACAATGTGGGATGTTTGCCAGCTATTCCAACTAGACCCATGTCTATCACTAAGCCCTATACTAATGTCAAAATGGATCAAAGATCTAAATATTAAAACAGAAACACTCAATCTGCTGAAAGACAAGGTCAATAGAAATCTCAAAGAAATAGGAGTAGGCAGAGTTTATCAACAAAACCTGAACTGCATGGAAAGTTCTTCAAAGAATCAACAACTAGGGTCTCATGTTACTAAAAGGTTTTTGCATGTCAAAAGAAATCAACAACAGTGAAAAGATAGCCCACAAAATGGGAAAAAAATTTTAGCCAACTGTCCTTCAGACAAAGCACTTCTATTTAGAACATATAATGAATTGAAAAAAATCAGGCCCTCCAAATTCAAAGACCCAATCAAAAAAATGGGCATCTGAGATGAATACACATGTCTCAGATGAAGAGTTACATATGGAAAATAAATATATGAAAAAACGTTCAACATTATTGGTCATTCAAGAAATGCAAGTTAAAACAACACTGAGATTTCATCTCACTAATTATCAAGAAATTAACCAATAACCAATGCTAGCAGGGCTACGGGGAAAAGGGAACATTTCTGCACTGTTGGTGGGAGTGTAGACTGGTGCAACCATGTGAAAATCAGTGTGGTGATTCTTCAAAAAGCTAGGATCAGAGGTTCCATTTGATCTAGCTATTCCCCTTCTAGTTTAAGAATTAAAAGCATCAGAACACAGTGATATATGTGTACCCATGTTTATACCACTACAATCTGTAATAGCTAGATTTTGGAAACAACCTAAATGCCCACTGACTGAGGAATGGATAAAAAAGCTGTGGTATTTTTATACAATGGAGTACTACTCAGCCATAAAGAAGGATAAGCTTGAGGCTTTTATAGGTAAATGGATGCAACCTGAGACCATACTCATAAGTGAAATAAATCAGACATGCATGTGTAAAATCATACTGTCTCACTTTTGTAGGAAGCCAAAAGAAAAAATATATGTATATGTATATATCTATGTATATTTGTATATATATATACTATATACAGTGTATATACTGTTACTATCCCCTAATTATTGTTTTGAAATTTTGTTTTATTTTTTTCTCTTTAAAATAAAATAGATTTGAGAAGGAAAAAAAAGCTGTTAGAGAAAAGAAAGAAATCAAAGGAAAGCCCATCAGAATTACACCAGACTTCTCAACACAAACCCTTAAGTTAAGGAGAGTGTGGTGTAAAGTATTTCAAGCCCTAAAGGAGAACAACCTTCTACCCAGTATGATGTACCCTGCAAAACTGTCTTTTAAAATTGATGAAGAAATAAGATACTTACATGACAAAGAACACCTGAAGAAATTCAAGAATAACCAAAATAGCACTCCAAAATGTTCTGAAGACATTCTAGAAAGAGATAACAAGGACTACAACTCTATGAACCCCCAACAGAATGAATCCACCAGGCAAAGCAAATAATTAATTAAATAGTGGGGGAGACAACACAAGGAAAATAACATGACAAGGATAAGTCAATACATATCAGTTATAATCATCAATGTAAATGGTTTCAAATCACCAATCAAAAGAAACAGACTGGCAGAATGGATCAAGAAGAAAGATCCAACAATATGCTGCATACAAGAAGCATATTTAATTCAAAAAGAAATTCATAGACTGAAAGTCAAAGGATGGAAAACAATTGTCCCTGTGACAAAAACCAGGAAAAAGCAGAGGTAGCTATTTGATTTTCAGACAAAGTAGATTTCAAA